AAAGAGAGTAAGGGACTATGGGAAGTGTTGGAAGGAGGAAGGGAGGGAGTAGAAAAAATAATTATATTAGTGTAGTTTCAAAAAATTAAAAAAAATATATTATAAAGAACGTGCAAATAAAAACATCACATAGTGAAAAATATTTCTATAATGTTAGATTATTGGTCATGAATTAATTTAGTTTGTATTTATTACAAAAATCTTTCCCTTTTCCATTAATTACCACAAACAAGTTGAAGGGCATAGTAACCTGGGTTACCAGTTAATGTCTTTCAGATTTAGAGTATAGACTTCCGTACTCTTCAGAATTGGAGGTTTTATGTTGAAAAAAGATGATATAATTCAGGTGGATTTGTCTTTATATGTAACTTGGTGCTTCCTTCTTGAAGTGTGTAGTATTTTTCTTGTTCTCCATGCTTCATGTGTTGACTGTTGGTGTATGAAGGTTCTGTTCTTGTTTTATTTGTCTGATGTTCTAAATACCTTCTGAGCCTGGATGGCCATCTCTTTTCTTAGATCTGGGAAATGTTTTTATACCTTTAGCTTAAAGTTGTTCTTCTGTTGCCCAGATTTATAAGTTTGGTCTTTTAATACTGTCTCATAGATGTTGTATGTTACAGTCACAACAACTTGTTATTTTATTTTTGTAGATATCTAAATGTTCTAATTAATCTGTTTTGTCTTCAGTCTCTTCCTGAGGCTTTCTACTTGGATTAATGACATCTTTATTTCTAAATTTACAATTTTGTATTTCTCCAATATTTTTAATCTCCTTCTTGAATTTCTCTTTCATATCCTGTGTTGACCCTCTTACTACATTCAGCTCTTATGTGTATTTTCTTTGAATTCATTTGGGAGTTTAATTGCATTATGTTTGATTTAACTCAACAATCTTATAAGTATTTTTTGAACTCTTTGTCTGGGATTTCATGTAATTCATTCACATTGGAATATATTACTGTGGAATTAATTTTTTTGGAGGGGTCATAAAACCTTGATTTTCTTCTTTCTTATATTTCTGCATTCCTACTTGCACTTTTGGCCTTCTTCTAATGGTTTTAAAATGAGTTATAATCTTCCAGGGGAAGCACTTGCAATGTCCAAGTGGGACTGGGTTGTAGTAGGAGCAACACTATAGCTAGTAGCTAAATTCATACTCCACATGCTGAAGGTTCAGGGTCTGAGCCCCTATACAGTTTTGAGAATATAACATTAACTACAGAAGCAACCACAACCACCAGATAGACCCACTATGCAATATTAGAGCTGGTTAAATACAGTCACCCCTTTAACCTTATAACTATTGAGATAACGGGAGGGTAATATAATTTGGACTAAGATATTAGTTACTAAGGCAGGAAAGAAAGGGAAGTAGCCTGAGTAAGGTTAGAGATTAGTGTTAGATCAACCGAGAAAAATATTGAGGAGGGAAAAGTAGGAAAAGGTAGAAATGAATGTGGAAAGACATAAGTCATGTACAGGAAAAGCAGGGTATAAACAATAGAGTGGGTACAGAAATATGAAGACTATTACTGAACAATATAAAAAGTCGAGCCAGGTAATTTATTAAGAGCTGTTTATGAAAGAGTGATTAAAAAGAGCAGTAATGAGTCTTTTCTGTGTCTATTGAGATGAACATGTTATTTCTGTCCTTAAGTCTATTGGCTGCATTGCGTTTGTTGATTTGGATGTGTTGAACCATCCTTTCATCCTTGGAATAAAATTACCTTGCAATGGTTTAAGGCAGAATCTTTATTTGAATACACCGTTGAAATATTTATTAATGGCCAGTACTTGCATTTTTTACTTACCAGTATCGCCAGATGAATATCAGTTACATTTTTTTTAAAATTCTTTACTTTCTCAGTACCCATTCTTAGCCATGTTGGATCCTAGGACTTTCTTTCAGCTTACTATGTTCCTATTAGTCTTGAGGCAGACATCAGACTGGTGGTTTTCCATATGGCTTCTTAGAGTCTCTTTCTTTTCTTTGTGTTCTAGGACTACCAGTATACCATTAAAAAAAACAGCATGGGTGGTGTAATGTAGGGGAAATACAAATGAGTCTTGTAGACTCCCCTCTCTTCACTTGTCCTTAGTTAACCTCCAAGCGTGTTAGCTGGTAGAAATCCACAGACTCTATCCCCAGGGAGGTGCATTAGAGACTGGAGTCTCCTGTGTCCTCTAATAATGTCTCCTTTATAAAACATGTCCTTTTGGTGATTGGCATGCCATTCAGTGAGAAAAACTAGCTGGTTTAGTAACAGCAATATCCTACATGTTGTGAAACATCATTCTAAATACACTTTCTAATTTTCTCTTTGACTTCTTTTTAAACAGTGAATTATGAGGAGTATTGCTTAACCACAGGCATCTGGGGATTTCCCTGGTTATTGTTCCTTTTTCAGAATTTTCTACCTTATTTCTAAAGTAGTCAGAGAAACAGTTCCAGAGGTATCTTAGAATTCCTAATTATACCATTACTCTGTCATTATTTGCTTTATATAGTTTAGGTGCTATTTGATGACATTGTCTTAAGTGTCCTTATTTATTCTTTGTTAAGGTTGGTTTTTATTTTTAATTTTGTACATGTACGTGTATCTGTGTGGATGTGTGCACGCAAGTGCTGTTCCCTGTGGAGACCTCAGATCCCCTGGAGCTGGAGTTACAGACCTTTGTGAGTCACCTGATGTGAGAGCGTGTGTACTCAACACAAGACCATCTCTCCAGCCCCTTCTCTTTGACTATTAAGCATAGATGGATTGGAGTCTACACAGTATGAAGTTGCTACTGTCACAGTACCTTTCCTTGACTTGTGTTTCTTCAATGTACCCTTTTATCATTTTCCTGTGAACTTTTGGTATCTTTATAATCGAAATGTCTCCAAATACCGTAAGTGTTAAAATTTCAATCTGATAGCTTATTATTTAAACTGGTAATACTTGTTATGCTCAAATTTACTGTATATATAACACATTAGTATCAGCAATTAGTAATTTATCTGCCTCTTGGGACTTAGTATTTCTGTTGTACCCCTACTTCCCACCTTTCATTCTCTTTCTTTCTTTTGGATTAATCGTGTTATTTGCTTTTCTCCTAGTTATCTTGAATATCTCATTGAATCCTGTTACTCTTCTTTTGTGGTTTTTATGGCTCGTAGATACAGGTGATTTTTTTTAAACATCATAATATGTATATTGGGTTCTACTTTAAGATCTCTAAACCAGATGTGATGATGCAGGTTTGTGGCCCCAGCACTTGGGAGGTGGAGGCAGGAGGATCAGGAGTTCAAGTTCAGCTCTGGACACACAACAAGCCTGACACCAACCTAGGCTATATAAGACCCCGTGTTAAGAACAAACAAAACAGGACAAGAAATCACGAGGAATTACTTAAACCCAGCTATCCTTTTATCTGTATTTGATGTTGATATTTCAGAGTTAAAGTGTTCCTTGTATTACTGAATAATTCCATAGTCATTTCTACTTGCTAGATTGTGTCCCACTCACATGGTGTTTTCTTCCTGTATTCCCATGCTACCATGGAGATCAATTTCTGTCTGTGTTTCTGTATTTCCTGGAGGGCACATTGTCTCATGTTGGATCATTGGTAGGAAGTTTTTTCCAGTGGTCTTTTTTTTTTTTTTAAACAACTTCCTTATCTCCTAGTTTCCATAGTTTCTCCTCTGGCTGCTTAGATGGTTTGTCTGCCACCGTAACAGTGGTTTTGTCTTAGGGAGATTTTTCTTTTTAACTATGATGCATGTGTGCACAAATGCGTGCACACATGTGTGCGTGCATGCGTGTGTGCATGCGTGCGTGTGTGTCTTGGTGTTTATGCTGGTTGGAATTTTGCAAATTTTTTTCATTCTGTGGCTTGATTTTCTCTGCCAGTTTTGGAAAGCTATTGCTGGTAGATCTTTAGGTCTTCTGACCTTATCTTTGAGTTGTTTCCTTACAGGATTTCAGGTATACATACATTAAATGTATTTCTTATTTGCCTTATATCTTCTTGCTTGTGTTTTGAACTCACTGTTTTTCCCATTGTTCAACCTGAAAGCCATCTACTGACCTGTCTTGAGTTCCAAGAATGTTTCCATCTTTCATTTATGTGATGTCTAATTACTGAAATTTAAATAATTTTCATTTTATTGATCTTCATAGTTTTTCTATTAAGAACTTCATAGTTCCATCTATATTTGTAATTACAGTTGTTATTTTGAATTCCATGTGCTTGTCTCAAAATGGTTGCTTACAATTTTGATCAAATATTAGACATTGTTTACAAAAGGTTGTTGAGAAGCCAGATGTGGTGTGGTTCACATCTGTAATCATCAGATTTGAGAGGCTGAGGCAGGAGGATTGTGAATTATATCCAGTCTGGGTTACATAATGAGACCCTGCCTAATAACAATCCAAATAGGAATAGCAATAGTAAGGACATAGAGTTGCTGAGGTTCTGAAAGCAGTTAGCTTCAGTAAGGGAAAGCGTAGTGTTTGCTACTTCACAGATAATGTATCACTTTGAAATTGTCTGCCTTTCTCTATATTGACCTGAACGTACTAGTTAATGGACTAGGTTAACTGTCCTTGGGTTTAATGGAAATACTAGAAATACAAGAGCAGTATTCTCCTTGGTGAGTCTTAGAATCTGATTTTTCTCCTTGGCACCCCAGGGCCTCCAAATTTCTTGCATAGGACAAGTAGCCATGGTCTGGTATCATCTGCCTCTCAGAGTTCATAGCCTAGAAGTTAGCAAATGTCTTTGATGGAAATTATACTTAGAATGTCAGGTTCAGATTTAAAAATAAAGGAATGACTCTTAGTGACATTCTGCTATGTTCATAGATCTCTGTCTTTCTCAGTCATCATCAGAGAAGTTTCCTCCTGCAGTAGATGGGAAAAAATACAGAGAACCACAGATGAGCAAGGTGCAGAGGGTGAAAGACTTCGGAACACTCAACCCTAACTGGGAGGTCCCCATCAAATCTCTCTCCTCAGGGCTCAGAATGCGCTGCAGAGGAGGAGACAAAGATTGTAAGAGCCAGTGGGGACAGAAGACACCAAGAAAACAAGCCCTTCTAGGCGAAGCAGGACAGCTCCACGTATGAACTCACAGAGACTGCTGCAGCACGCACAGAGCCTACACGTCTGACTCAGATGAGATTCCAGCACTGAGAGGAGAGGTGGACACGAGCCCATCCCTAACCTAGAAGCTATCTCAGCTGATAACTCTCAGAAACGAAAAATAAGTTTTCTCCAAGGGAGTCTCACTGGGTATACAAACCACACTTGAGCACAGGGCTCATGCCCAGTAGTAGATGGCCAACACAAAACAAACTCAGTGGTACTCTTGGAGGGTTTTTTGGTTTCATAATGCTTTGACTGGGCATTGTTTTTCTTTTTCTTTCTTTTTTAACCCTAAAGGTCTTTTGTTTATATATTATGGTTTCCAGCTTTGTATTCTTATGGGATTTCTCTCTCTTCCTCCCTCCCTCCTGCCCTCCCTCCCTCCCTCTCTCTCTCTCTGCTTCGCTCTCTCTGTCTCTGTGTCTCTCACTCTCTCTGTATGTGAGAGTGTGGTGTATGTGTGTGTGTGTGTGTGTGTGAGAGAGAGAGAGAGAGAGAGAGAGAGAGAGAGAGAGAGAGAGAGAAAGACAGAATATGTATGTCTCTGTGTCTGTGTGTGTTTCTTATGCTTATTCTTTGGCTCTTTTTTTCTGTTTGTTTTGTCCTATTTTGGTTTGTTTTTTATTTTATCATCATCATCATCATCATCATCATCATCATCATCATCATCCTCATCATCATCACATGCTTGTTTGTATCCTGATGAGAGAAAGGGTGTGAATTTGGGTGGGTGGGGATGTAGGGAGAATCTGAGAAGAGTTGGGAGAGGGGGAACTGTAATTAAAATATATGAAAATCCATTCTCAATACAAAATTCCCCTAGTCTGTCAACTTGCTCCCTAGAGTTCAGTGGGCACAGGACAAGCCCTAGGACACGTTTATTTGTTTGTTTGTGCTTTTGTTTGCTTGAGACAGGCACTTGCTCTCTAGCCTAGGCAGGCCTTTAACTCAGTCCTCTTGCCCCAGCTTCCTAAATGAGTGCTGGGTTCTCAGAGGTATGCCATCATGCTTGGTTTAGGACACATTGTTGTTAATGTGTTTTGAAAATTAATTTACCCATTGACAATTTCCTATGTGCATATAATACAGGCTGGTCACCTTCATCCCTCCACCTCCATTTACCCTCCTCCCAGTCCCACCAAACCCCCCTTCCAATTTCATGTCTTTTTGTCTTTGTTTTGTGACCCATAGGGATTAAACAGGGCCACCCCCGTGGGCAGGAGTTGAAACTATCTACTGGAGCATGAATAACTCGCCAGTGGCCACATCACTGAAGACAATGACTTCCTCTCTCCCGCAGCCCTCCACTGCCATTAGCTCCAGTGGGTGGAAAGGGACCCCATGAATCCATCCCCTTCTATGCAGGTAACCCAGCTGCTGTGGATTTGAGTACCATGGCCATCTATGATGCTGGGTTTTTTTGTTGCTGTTGATAAGACGTTTCTCTGAACTGAGAGGGAACTGCTGTGTCAAATGAGGCTCACATCAATATTTTTTCTTGTTACAAAGATTCTGCTTTTTCAAATCTCTTTTGTTTTTCTCCACAACTATCGCTGTTCTCTGACAGTGGTGTACATGGTGGGTAGTGGGCTTTACTCCAGATGTACAGATAGAGGTGTACTTCAAATCAATTTCCCGCATCAAGTCTCTGCTGCTGCTAAGAAAGTCAATGTCATTTTGTTTATTTTTTTAATGAACACATTTTTGAACTTAGAGCATTTCCAAGGTTTTTTTTTCTTCTGTTTAATAATATAATGGTTTTGACAGTTTGGGGAGAGAAAAATGATAAAATCTCCAACTATGGTTGTAGATATGTCTGTGTGGTCCCTTCAGTGGTGTCATGAATTTAAAAACCCTTTTTAGGTGCATATATATCGAAGATGCCTCTTTCTTTGCGATGAATTGATCCCTTATCATTGTGCCCTGCTTGCCTCACCCTAGTACCTAGTTTTAAAATTCACAGTATGGATATAGTCACTCCTAGGTTTCTTATGACTAAAACCTGTGTGGCATAGGCTTCCCTATCATTTTTACTTTTAAGATACCTGGATTCCCATCCTCAAAATATGTTTCATATAGTTAATATTTACCTACATCCTTTCTCCATGACTTAACCCTGTAATGCGAGGGTTTGATATATAAGTGCGTTGTAAGGTGATTAGATGAAGTAATAAAACATTAAGATTTTGTTTATTTACTTTTGTTCTTATATCCCAACCAAAGTTTTCCCTCTCTTTCCTCTTCTCAATTCCTCTCCCCCTACCTCCCCTATACTGCTCCCCCCATTCACTCCTTCTCCACTGTTTCTCTTCAGATACAGGTGGACCTCCCATGGATATCAACCAGCCATGGTAGATCAAGTTGCAGTGAGACTAGGCCCCTCCTCTTCTGTTAAGGCTGGATGAGGCACAATCAGTAGGAGAAATAGGTCCCCAAAGCAGGCATCAGAGACAGAGACAGCCCTGCTCCCACTGTCAAGGGTCCCTCAAGAAGACCACATCACGAAACTATAACATATGTGGTGCTGTCCAGATCGTCTTCTCATTCACCTCTGTCTGTATGCTTCTGCTTTCCTGATTAGTTCTAAGTTTTCAGTTTGGCTTTGTTTTGCTCGATTAATTTACTGTAATGATTTGGGGTCTACGATCTGTAGGGCCTGAGACCCCATGGCTGGAACTCTTAGGCAAGGACTGTCCTTATTCACAGGGAACTTCTTCCCCAGGGAGCCTCTGTTCTGCTCTTCCTGCCTCTGATAGATTTGATCAGACCTACTCAGTCCACCCAGGGTCGTTCCTTCCTAAGCATTAACTGACACACACACACACACACACACACACACACACACACACACATACACACACACACACTGTGGTTTTTGGTCTACTGACTAGGTCTTGTGCATGTTTCTTTACTGCTTCATCTGTCTACTGATTTCATTTTGGTTCTAGATAAAGGAATTTCAGCATGACGTGAAGTGTGAACCTTTAAGGGCTACCCCTCAATGTCTGTGAACACAGCCAGGCCACCCTCCTCCTGTCGGCAGAACTGGGGTGATGTGTGGGCTCTGAGAGTGGCTTGACTGGCTGCTTCCTCGTCCTTCCGTGTGGTTATCCTGGCCTGACCTCTCAAGTATGTCACCTGGTACATCTGGTGCATGGAGGGGTGCACACCTGCACGGGCCTTCCTCAAGTCTCTGTCTACCTTCCCTCTTTCTGACACTCTGCCCTGCACATTCTAGCGGAGTTGACTGAGCTTAGTTCTTTCTTCTGCCCAGCAAGACATCTGGGCTCTGAATAATAACATTGGAGTCTAAAAATTCCCTTCACACAGGGAAGCAGAATTACCGTGGATTTCCCTACTTTTTGCCCCTCCTTTATGGGTCTGCGCCACTTAGGTCTGAGTCCCTCAAAAAATGTTTCATACGTTTTTTTCCACTTGTACATTTATAGCGGGAGGGTGATCAGACAGTCTTACTTGTGGTGACATGGATATCATGCTATGCTTTTGTTGACATTAGTATGCTAACTTGTGTGACTCTGTTTAAAAAAAAAAAAAGTCTAGCATTGCTGTATTTCCAGCCAGCTTCTGAGGGAGATCTGCACAAAGTTTCTAGATTGAAATTCCCTTAGAGTCCTTGGCTCAGTCCTTCTAAGAAACTGTTCTGAGTGCCACTTTGACTGCAGGCTCAGGGTACACATCTCTACCTTTTATTAATATCAGTTAGTTTCACATCACTGTGACCAGAATACCTGACAGGAAAGACTTATGAGACAAAAAGATTTCTTTTGGTTCCGTTGGAGAGAATCGTGGTCTATTATGGCACAAAAGGCATGCCCACAGCAGTGAGAGCACATGGCAGAGACTCCCTGTGTGGTGACTAAGAAGCAGAGAAGGTGCTGGAACAAGGGGTCAAACTGTAACCTTCAGAAGGACGTCCCTAGTGGCCTACTTCTACCAGCCGGCCCCACTGCCCCAACTTCTTGCCTCCCCAAACAGGGCAGCTGGCTGGGAGTAAGTGTTCCAAGCATGAGCCCATATGGAACACTCCTGGTTAGATCATAGCACCCCCAAAGCCACTAGTGCCCATGGGATTGCCTTGCTTTGATCGGCCCATGGCTGACCCAGCTCCTCTCCCTACATCCATTTTAGACTGCACAGAGTGAGAGCAGACAAGAGAGGAACTCAAGAGAAAAAGAAACACAATGTTATTTGAAGAGGAGGACAGGCAGGGACTGAAACCGCATGCATCCCTGCCTGTGATGAAGGGAGTCCAGATAGTCCAAGCCTCCTTGTGGTGCAAAATATTTTGAGCAATATGGTGCTTTCTGGATTCTCTATCTCTTCAGTGTTCCTTTGAAAGTTTTCTTTTGGACCCATCTTAGGGCTGTCTTTTGTGTCCTTGAGATTAAGACATGATCCCTAAGATGCTTTATGTGCCTTAGAGAAAATGATCGTTCTTGCCACCCTGGGTCTCCTTTCCCCTTGTGTCTCGAGGCACTGCTCCTGAAAGCCTTGTTGGGGGCCTTCTGAGGTGCAGGTGTTTCCCGTGTAGGCCCTTGCATGTACTTCTGTATCCAGACAACCTCTCCTCCACTTCTATCTGTCCACCAAGGGTCAGCTGCAGGTTAAATGACATCTTCCTAGGAAGCTTGCTTGACAGCCCAGACGTGGCTGAGACATACCCCTCTTAGGAATTATAAAGCTCCACGAGGGATGGAATTCCTATGCTTCATTCACAAATGTAACTGGGACCTGTCAGTGTTCATTATACACACAGCCGGGATGCCTGGAGAACAGCTAACCTCTGAACTCATTGCTAAACTAGACAAATTCCAGTACAGTTCAAAAGCTAAGTACACGGACTACATGCCCATCAGCAGAGCAAGTTCAGAGCTGTACAACATGGCTGACCCATGTGAGCCTTTATGCCTCGGTTTTCCCATTGAAAAGAAGCAGGAGAAGAATACCTGTGCAGAGAGGTACCCTGCATGTCATGAAGCATCTAATGGATGAGCAGAGCATCTGCTTCCCATGTCCTCTGATCATCTGGGTTTGGCCATGATGGGTAGGTGTACACAGTGGACAGTGGGAGCTGGCAGGAGCCTGTGGCTTCTGACATCACATGGTTCTTGTCTTATATTTCAGGCGCACACTGGGCTTTGGTAAGATACATGAAGAGCATGTCCCTAACAGTAGGTTGGTGTCAAGAAATAGAATGTCTGTCAGTTCTTCTGCCTCCGCTCTCACGTGTGTGACTCTCAGCAGGTGCTGCAGATGGTGTGAGCATGCCCTTCGCCTCAGGTTCAGTTGGCAAAATGGAAAGGACTCGGAATCTCCTTCTTCAGGTCAGGAGAACTTCTTCAGGTCAGGAGAATGAGTATCCTTGGGGCCCTTAGCATTTACTGGCCTTCAGTTCTGAAAAATGAAACCTCATAGTTTCAAATATTAAAACTGCTTGAAGTTAGAGCCTTTTGTCAAAGTGCTAAATAACAAGAGTATGATTAGATATTGTCCCGCTATGTGCACTTTTAAAATTTTGATGGTTGGGCCTCTTGGTCACAATCAGTTACCTAAAGCATTTCAGCTTTCTCATCTCCTTTTCCTAATCATTAGGGAACAATCTCATCATTGGGACTTCACATGTCTGTCTTTCTTTAAACCAGGAACTGCCCAAAGCTCCTAGTTCTGATTTGATTGTGTCCTTTGAGGGCAGTTTTGATAACTGTCGTTCTCTTTCCCTGGCTGTCAGACTTGCAGCACAGCCTGGCCCTAGTTTGGGGGGTGATAGCTAATAGACACTCGCTTTGCAGATCCATGAGAGTATAAATTAGACCGTTAGGGACCAGTCTGGTTTTGAACTCATTCTTATACTAGTATAAATAATGAAGGATGCTAAGATGCTTCCATATATTTAGTTGGATATAATTAAAACCCCAAAGGTTGTGGTTTTTAAAAGCTACATTTGCCTGTTGTCTGCTGGGAGTTCAAGGTCCTGGAAAACGAGAGCGTTTCTGTCTTATTCTTTTCTTTGCCTTCCCTATTTCTGCTCTCCTCCTCTCTTCTGCTGCTCTTGCCTTCCAGCCCTCCAATTAAAGGCACAGTCCATGAACTTTAGTGTCAAGAAGGGTGATGGGGGATGATTTCTGTTTCCAAGGAGCTGTTAGGGAACAGCCAGATGAGAGAACTAACTGAATAAGATGTGGTAAGTGATGGATGAGGCAGCATGCCACAGTCTCCGTCAGGGTATTTAGCCCTTCTGGGTAGGATCAGGAGTCAGAAAGGCATTCTGGGAGAGGATCCATCTCAGTTCATGAGAGGTCATCACCCTTTGGGGAATTTTCTTTGAAGATAATGTCTCTGTTCCTATCTCTGTCTCTCTCTCTGTCTCTCTCTCTCTCTCTCATTTATTATATGAATCCAACAATATTGCTTCCTGTTCTTGTTCATACTAAATGTCACTTTGCTTCTGTCTCTCCATGATCTCAAATATCCAAATACTCTTCCTCTAGATCTCCACCAACACTGGGGACTAGGAACAGCTCATGCTCATGTGTAAATGACTGCTAGGACTCGGTCATTCTTTAGTGAACTTTTACAGGTGAGAAGAACCCTTAAACTATACGAAAGTGTCTTTTATTATGTGAAGGCTGTATCAAAATATAGGACATATCCCTACAGCTGAAGAGAATGGGATACCAGGAGAGCCGTGTCCACCATCGTCATAAACTATTAGGGCCATGGCATCTCTGCATAGGTATCAGAATGCTGTACCATTAAAAACTGATTTGAGGAAAGCTCAAATCAAGAACATCAAAACAATTGAGGACAGTATATGGTCCAAAGTTGAGGTTTCTTTGAATCTTGTAGGGAGGGGTCTACTATGAAAATGCATGATTTTATCAGAAGTGGCTCATGTTGGCCAAGCCTGATAAAAGGCAGGCTAACTATAATAACTTTAGTTTTAGACCAAGTTTATTCCAAGTATTCTTTACCTTATATCTCTTTATTTTTTTCCAGCCACCTAATGCAAAGACACATCTGACTTTACTGAGCACTAGTAACCTAGCTAGCATCTTTGGCTTTTTCTTTTAAACTGTTGGGCAAATATTATGATTTACAAACAAAACTCAATAAAAATGCTCACCAAGGAATGAGCCCCCAGAAGCTAATTTTTATTCTAAATGTTGGGGTTTTATTCTTCTTCAAGTTCTCTGGTATTGAGGATTTTTTTTTGTTTGTTTTAAAGGAAACGGTCACCCACTCCATTTATAAATTCTGGAAAGAGAATGGCAAGTCTGAGGATGGAGGAGAACAGAGCTACACTCTTGATGACACCTCTGAGGACCAGGAAAGATGGAGTTTCCCACAGGGACCTCTTGGGTAGTATGAAATAAAACATAGTATCATTGTTTTGTATGATAACCTCTCTGAAATTAAAAGAAACAACACTTTGAGCTTCAGCAGTTATGAAGAGTAAGTCTCTCACTTCTCTGACCTATCTTAGAAACTTGCTCCTCAGCATTAGCTCACAGCCACCATACCAGTGGTGTCCCTGCCTGAGAGTATCAGGGACAGTCCTCAGAGTGGGGAGGCTGAATCCTTCCCTTGAAATGCTCTCATTCATGTTGTAAAAACTAGGTGTTTCTCAGTGTCAGTGTTTATGTGCAACTGAAAATAATCTCCCCAGCCATCAATCTATTGCGTCCTGCAGACCAGGTGTTTTCTCTCCACAGAACTGGAATGTGATTCTGAGTAGGGACATTTTATCTGGCTGCTAACAACTGCAGAGTATCACTAAGCCATGTCTGGACTCTTGTTTGTTTGTCAAGACATAGTTTCTCTGTGTAGCCCTGGAACTTGCTCCATAGGCCAGGCTAGCCTTGAACTCAGAGATCTGTCTGCCTCTGCCTCCCAAGTGCTGGAATTAAAGGCATGTGTCACCACACCTGGCTCATGTCTTGAATATTGCAGTGGTCAAGGCCAATGGCAGACCTTGTTTAGAAGTCTGGGAGGAAGATGGCTGGCCCAGGAACCTGTGTGAGAAAGTCTTCTGTCAACCTCTTCTCTATTATGGAGATCCTGGGGTAACAGAGGGTGAGGACTCACAGCAAGAAAAGATGCTCTCCAATTCAAATGTGTTATCCATGCATTTGAGTTTCACCATGACCATCTGTAACAATTACATCAAAGTAGTTAGCATTTTCATCACTTCACACATCATTTCTACATCTGGGGAACCTTGAGACTTCTCTGATTATGTGCAATGTGTACAATAACCATAGACTAGCATAGATTGTAGTCACCTGCGCTGCAGAGCTTTAGAACCAACTCTTCTTACCTGTGTTCACTTTGGTCTGAATTTGCCTGTCTGTTGCTCTAGGTACAATATATGATGGATATGGTGGTACCCAAGAAACTGATGCAATAAGAACCTAGTGGAAGTTAAAGTTCCAGACTCCCCTGCACTCCTGGCTGTGTGTTAGATGGATGTCCATGTGTTAGATTTGCAAAGATAGCAATGGCTTTTATAAGGCTCTGACCCATCCCCCACACCTATCCCACAGTTTGCTTGTGGTTGGGTGCACACAGGAGACATGAGCACAGGTGTGGCGAGAAGTCAGTTCAGTTTTCTGTGGCTCAGCAGTGTGCTGGCTATTGTGAAGGAGGGGAAGACACATCCAACTCTTCTGGCTTCAGCTGGGTTCTCTGCTGAGGAATCCAGGAGTCCTGCCCACTTTCTTCCAGGATTCTTTGGCTTCTTTTCCTTTGTTTTAGGGACAGCATGCCTCAGGACTGGTGACAATGTCAGGGAGTCCAGCTCCCTCTCCTGACAAAGAGAAGCCTCCCAGGCACTGCAGTGAAGCAGGGGAGGAAGAGCCCTCAGTGGTTACTGTGTCTTTGGATTAAGGAGTGTGACCACGTGTTCAGGAGCTCTGGACAGGCAAGGGGAGGCAAGAGCCTTGTTTTACACGATTCCTTCTTTCTGTCTTCAAGTACGGGGCATTGGAAAGGCAAGCATATGGCAGCACCATCTGGCTCCCTTGGGGCAACCCGAGGTTCTACAAAGTACCCAAGCTCTTTGCTCCAGGTGTGATCACGAGCTTCTGTGTCCCTGTTTCTGGATTCATGAGGACAAGGCCATGTCAGGCCCCAGAAGAGGAGCTGGGTATGAGGCTTGCAGCACTCACTCATGATCCCTTTTTCTCCCTATATATGGATGTGATACAGGGTTCAAGCCCTCTTACTCTTGTTTCAGGAAAGAAGACAGATGGCTGGTAAAATTTTCACAGTGGACCGCACACTGCTGCACAGCGGTGCCTGAGCCATGGGGACGATGGGAGCAGCTTGAGTCTGCAGTGGCAGCCCCACCTTCTGTGGTAAGTGCATTGTGATGCCGTGGTAGATAGTACATGTGTGCAGACACTTGGCTCCATCAACTGGCAGGTGTAAGTGCCAATTGCTGCTGGCTCGCCTCCACTTATGTACTCACTGGGTGTTACAAAACGCTTGTTTTGGGTCAGGTACCAGGAACATAGCAATGGAAAAGACAAAGTCTTAGCTCTGCAGAGGAAAATGGAAGATAAACAACAGACCAGAGAAACATTTCAGGTAGTAGCGATAGCTATGATAACCATAACACACGATGATGGATGACCATCACTGCACTGGGGAGCAGGAACACTAGGAGATTTTAGGGGTGTGTGTCACGGGAAGAGGCTCTGCTTGGCTCACTGGAAGAAGAATGATGAATTTATGGACAGCCCTTGAGACCAAGGAGATAGGGACCACCAAACCTTAGCAACTCTGAACTCCTTTTGATATCAGCAACTTCCAGTTCTTCCAGGTCCTGCGGGACAGCTCTGCCTACTTCTTCCTCCTGTCTACCTTCCACTCAGCCCTCAATTGTTGCAGTTCACACCGGTTCACTGCGGAGATTCTGTAGCTGGCTAAGATTTAATTAACCAATGAGGGTGAAAAAAAAAGAGAGAATTTCAAACACTTGCCTCTTCTGACTCCTCTGTAAGAGACTAGGGTGCCAAGGCCACACTACAGCCCCAGGTAGCTTTGAATTTGCAGTCCTCCTGCCTTGGCGTCCTAATGCTGTTATTACAGATTTGTGCCACAAGGCCTGGCCCATGAGAGAAAAATTTTGAGCCTTAACACGGGGGGAGGGGGGCGTTGTTAAATTTTACAGTGCTAGCCAGAGTGTGGTCATGTGGCCAGAGACCAGCCATTGGTTTCTGTTGCTGGAATTTGAATGCTAAAAAAAGAGATGCAAAGACCAAGGACCAAATAGGAAATTATATTGAAAGGGATAAGAGTACTGAGCCATGCCTTCCAGGTTCCTCAAATACATAATACAACTGAATTCACAGCTTTGGCCCGAGGTAGCTAGATTGGGAACTCACTAGTTCTGTCTCTGTTTCTGTCTCTGTCTCTGTCTCTGTCTCTGTCTCTGTCTATCTGTCTGTCTCTCTCTCATTTGTAATCTTGCTTGATATTGATGGCTAAAGAGTTATTAAGAAATTATTCTTAGGAAGGAAAAGGTATAACAAAAATATGGTTACTAAAATCTTAGTTAATTTGATGGTACTGGAGCTAATCAAGCAGGAAAGGGGAAGTAAATTCTGAAATCATGATCTTTGGTTACTTATCAGTGTTGAACAGAGAATTTGGTCTTGGGGTTGTTAAAATATAACAAATAAGCATGGAACAATAGTCAGGCGTCACAAATTTGGTTGGAAAATGATCTAATCACATTTCTTCTATAAAACAAATACCTAAATTAAATAACACAAAAAAGTTGAAAATAGAAATGAAAAAGATAATCTTTTTAAATGAAATTCAGCTACATGGCTAAAAATATCCTGCCCAAAGTGTACAGATAGCTTAGTGGTTAAGAGCCTGGTTGCTTTCTCAGAAGACCTGGGTTGGATCTCATCCCCGACAGCTGCAGGTAACTCTAGTCCCAGGGAATCCAATATCCTCTCCTGGCCTCTGCAGGCCCTGCATGAACATGTACATAGACACATAAAATAAAAATAAAGTTCTTATAAAAGAGTATTACATGGATCAAAGTATCTCTTCTTGATGAAAATGACATTCTACCAAATACACACCAATTTAACCACCAAACACGGAAGCACTGATGTCTACATTACTCAAAACAGACAAAACATGCTTCTATAAAATATGATGTATCATACTTACACCATCTATATTTTTATAATAATACAAAAGGAAAAGACTATACCTATGGAATATTTATCAAGTGTAGCATGTCATAGGATACAAAGAAAAACTCAATACAATTCCCCAGTGACAGAACTCATAAGTCATATTCTGTGACCACAAGGCAGTGAACGAAGAAGCTAAGAAACAAAATTAACTGAGCAAAATCTATCCATTTGGAATATTCTAGAGCAGTATTCTTAAAATTCTTAGAATAAAAAGGAATCAAAGTGGCATTCTAGACCATTCAGTAACAAGCAGTAGTGAGGTACTCCGTGTGCCAGTCTGGCAGCCCATGGAGAGAAAGGGAAAATGCACAGCCATATGCATTTAAAAGTCTTAAAGAATGGAAAGAATTTAGATAATGTCTTAATAATTAAACTATACTTATGAGCCACAAAACCAGGTCAGAAGTAGGTGCTATATTAGTCAGATCCACGTTTCCCTAACAAAATACCTTAGAGCAATTAACTTGCAAAGGAAAAACAGCCTGGCTATTCTGAATAGAAGTTGCAGAGGTTCCAGCTCAAGACTTGTGGCTCCTTGTGAGGGCAGCATATCATGGCAAGGACACCCGATGAACAAGCCACAGCCCTAATGACCTGAGGAGCAGAGAAGGGAAATTTAGAGATCAGAGTCCCATAATACCCTTCAAGGGCATCCCTTCCATGACCCGAGGACGGCTCATCCCACCTTTTAAAGGCTCTGCCACTTTGCTGTTAGATCACCTTGAGTCTTTGCAGACATTTACTCTCCAAACTACACCAAATGTATGATGATAGAACAGAAATACCATAGGCTTGAGAAGGAAGGCCCTCTGTGGCTTCTCTAAAAGGATAATGCATAAAAACCATACATTAAAAAAAACTCTGAATCTAGGAAGGAGAGAAGAAGAGAGAGAAAGAAAACAAAAACCAACGACTGTGAGGTACAGAAAAGGAATTTTAGGTCAGAGGGCTGCAAAGTTGTTCTGGAAGAAACCAGACAGTAAGTATGTCAGGCTTTGTGAACCACAGGCAGTCTCCGTGACGAGCAGTCACCATTTATCATGGCTCCAAAGCGGCCAGAGACAAGAGTCAATGAATGCATAAGCCATAGCTGACGAAAGCTTTATTTATTGAGGACAAGGTCTGCTCATTGCGCTGTGAGCGTGTTCACTGGTTATTTAAGGGATCGTAGGTGCGTCCAGTCATGGTGGCCCAGTGAGTACACACTTTTGACATGAAGCATTATGTGTAGAACAAATGGACACACCTGAGGTGGGTGACTGGATAGGGATCTTCAGGTGAGTGGTCTCCTTATTACAAGGGCATGGGAAATCCTCCCCATAGTAGATCATTACTTTCTTAGAGAGCTTGGCCTCTTGGTGGGCCTTTTTGGGAAATTGAGTCTGCTCAGATTTGCCTTTTTTTTTTTTGGCCTGAGGACCCTTATGGTCTGTACAGAAATGGCTGGTGATCAGCTGCTCTTAGGTCAGTCCCACACAATGCAAAAGTGAAGTGTTCTGAAAGTCCCAGAGGATGACAGTCATTATTCCTGTAAATTAATGTACTTTAGAATCTCATTATATGGAACAGGTTTTATAGGGTCTGATATAATAATTCATCAATATTGGAGAAGATTGTTCTGAAAAGAGACATTTATAAGGAAAAAATAGTATGAGTTATTTTTTAAAGAATGGCTTAAAACACCACTGCTATTTCCCCTTATACTCTATGGGACAGGAGTCCAGGCTCACTTGACCGGGTCTTCACGAACATATCACTGGGCACCAGTCTGCCTGTGTTCTGGTCTAGAGCCTGTGATTCTCTTCTCAGCTCATGTAAGTGTAGGTAAAAAGTCCATCTTTCTGCACCTGCATGACTGAGTCTTCCTGCTGGCTCCAAGCCAGGAGCTGCTGACACTTCTCAGAGGCTACGTATGTGTCCATGCTTGCTTGCAGTGTGGCTGTTTGCTTCTTCAAGCCGTGAATCAAATTTTAGACACAATTCCATTCTCTAATTTCCTTTTGAATAAGGAGTGTGCTCTCTAGGAGTACACGTGCACTCCCCTTTGTTCCTGTGCCAGGATGTTTCATTGCCGAGGATGTGGTCTGAATCACCGCTCCCCTAAGGATTGACTCACCTGTGAGAGCATCATGAGTCCCCTTCATTTTCACTGTCATCACCTCTAGGTTGTCGTGATGTGGTCTCCCTGCTCCAATAGGTTCACTACATTCCTTTCTCATTCTACACAAATAACAGGTTTTCTGCTCTCTCTTACCTTGTCAGTTATTATTGTTCTGTGTCCATTATATTTCCTCTCTTTCCTTTCCCTTTATTTCTTATGCACACATGGTTTATAATTTTTCTACCTCTCAGACATTTCGTTGTTCCCATTCTCTTGCTTCTTTCCTTCAGGACTCCCATTGCATGTATGTCCTAATATTTAGTGCTGTTCTAAAAATCCTTGAAGTTGTAGTCAGTTTTTTGGTCAGATTTAAAGTGAGCTAAAAAAAAAAAAAGCCACATGAATCCTTTTGCTATAAGCATTATTTGGCTATAAATTTTATCCCATGATGTTTTTATTTCAAATGTTGTATTTTTTAATTGTAAAAGTGCCATATTAACAACTAATTTTGTGTCTCTGCTGTGATCTGTTTGTTCATAAATTAGAACCATATTTTCATTAGGCTACTGAGAACAGATGTCATATCTACTTTGATGTCCTCATCCACTTCATCAACATCTGGATCATCATGAAGTCTGTTGGTTGTATTTTATAATTCTTTGTATATTGAATAATTTTGTTGTATAGGCAGATATTGTGAATTTTATTATATGAAGACCTTGAATTTTATTATATCCCTCCAAAGACTGTTAGTTTTGTTTAGAATGCAAATAACTTGGCTAGACCCATATTGCCAACTACCTCTTGAGAGGGAACTTAAATCTCAGATCCGTTTTTAGGACTTTATGGGGCTCAGGACACAGTCAGATCTGATGTACAGGATTTGGATTCCTTTGTCTGGCTCTGTCCTTCTTGGAATATCCCCTCATTTTGCAAAGACTTAGATAATCCTAAATGATACGTTTTAACCCACCCCAAGCTGGCATCAGGTTTTCTGCTGGAGTTTCAGCCATCCTGTAACAGGGAGGCAGGTGCTACCTGCATGCCAGAATCCTGTAGTTGAAAAATGTACCCAGGGCAGACCCTTTCTTTTTCCTCTCAAATCCCTTCCAAAATCCACCTCTGTTTATCCTCCAGAACTTCAAATAGCTGCTTAGTATATTCATCCAGACATGAAATTATTATTATCTGTGAGAAGGGTCTGACAGTCACCTAGTTACCCTAAAAAGAAAATTCTTCCTTACTTTCTGTAGATTTAAACTTTTAAACATTTGTTGTTAGTAGGTCCAAGGACATAAGTATTTCCTTATATATTAAAATGTTTATGTATTTTATTATAAATTCATTATGTTGAACTGTTTAAGATAATTTATATTGTAAATAAAATGTGATATAAACTATATATTATAAAATTGATTTTATTTCTTCACATTATAGCTACTTCATCATACATTTTAAAGAAGTTACATTAGTAGATTACTTTGTTAGAAACCATAATTTACACAATAAACATAGCAGGGTTGATATTTTAATTTTTTTTTACATTTAGTGATGTGTGTGTGTGTGTGCGTGTACATGCATGCATGCATGTTTGAGGGTCAAACTCAGATCATCAGGCCTGGCAGCAAGTACCTCTCCCCACTGAGTCATTTTATCAGCCCCTAAAATAGTTACTTTATCAAAAGGATTCTGGATGGGTGTGATAGAGCTGAGCAGCTCCCCCATGAGAATATGTTAATGGTGCAGGACACATGCACAGATCACCAAGAGACTATGCCCTGACTTCTGACAGAGATTGAGCTGTCGGGGAGAGGTACGGTGGCAGAGCAGTGAAAAGCAGTAACATACAGGAAGAGCTTTAGACAGGAAGAGAAGAAAAGAGATTGAAAGGAAGGAAAGAGAGAGTAAGAAAAAAGAAATCTCTCCAATTCAAAATGTGTAGTGAAATTCAACCCAGGAGCTTCTGAAAGACTCTGATGATAGAAAAGCCTGTTAACTAAGTCTACATGGCCAAATTAGCATAGATGGAGCAAAAATAATACAACACAGTAGTCTGACAAAGATAGTGACATGTGGTCTTAGAGTTGTTTAGAGTTATAGATGTTATCTATAACTACTGATAAGGCCAGGTAGAAATGGTAAAAATAATAGCATGGGCAAAAATCAAATACCTTGCAAGTGAACAACGTGGTCACTGAAACTTTTGTGTTGACAAGAGATTTGCGAGTCCAAACATTGGCTGAACTCTTTCCACAGCTCCTCTCCCTTTGACCAAGGTCCCGTCCCCTGGCAGACAGGCAGAAACAACAAGGAAGAGCGTTCTCACCAATGACTCTTCTGATTTTTTTATTTTTCTAGAAAAAGTCTCCAGATAAGAAGAGTCTATGAAACCCTAGCTATCACGAATTTCTTGCTTGATGTGAGTAGTTAGACGGAATACCGCAGCAAACCATTGTCCCAGTTAGAGAATTTGTTCTAATGGCCAATAATAGTCCCTTTCTGAGACTCTTGTGCAGGAGTGTGACCCCAATGGAGTGTGTTTCATGTGGGAAACGTGCTCTGGGTTTGGCTCGTGTGGGCTTGCCCCCCACTTTCCTGCTGTGCACCTCTGTGGGCATGATGCCTGCACTGAAGGTTTCCTCAAGTCCTGGATGGGGGCAGACCACCTGCACTAGTCTCGAAGAGATAACTGAGGATGGACGGAGGAGTGTGGAAAGCCTTCATTTGCCAAGTTTCCTTCAGTCCAGGCATCTCCCTCTCACTATGGCGTTGAGCTGGGATGCCTTGGACATCACCACCTGCTTAAGCCTTTTTAATAGAACAGTCGAAGCCAGCGCTGTTCATTTACTTTTGCTTGGCTGCCTAATCCATTCTTGCCAAGAACTCCCCAAGGTAGGCACAGCCAATGAGCCTGAGAAGATGCCAGCTGGAAAAAGCCATCCCTCCTCCCCACCTCCACTCCCCCCCCCCAGTTTGCTATTATTTGTGTTTTGATAATGCCGCATAGTTGTTACAGGCTTCCACTATGTTAAAAGTGTTCTATTAAGCAAAAGCAGTCACGCGCAGTTGGATGGCTGACTTTTCAAAGCTGGAGTTGCTGTAGACACTGGCAAGGTTGACCCAGACACGGGTACCTGCTCAGTCAGTGGGAGCCAAAGCAGGGCTGGCACCTGCTCCTGATTGTGAAACTATGCGGCTCTGTAGGAAACATTTGAGGCACTCTTGTGATAGGAGCCGTCACGTTTTAATTACCAGTAAGCTGCCTCGGCAACACATCCTTTCTTGGCAGCCTGTGAAAAAAATACTTTTACAAACTGGAATGCAGACTGCTGGTTT